CTAACTAGCGTCGTAAAGCAAGCAAGGGAGGCAAGGATTGTTCGATTGCGCAAGGAATGGGTTAGAATACGCGCATTCAAGGGCTCTCAATTAGACGGTGACGTAGCGACATTGCGAGGTGTTCTCAGGAGAAATAATATTGAGACTTTCTATACACTCGCGTTCTCCAATTAAAACCAACAGACTCAGTCTGCACCGTTAGACACGTCATGTTTGTGACGATATTTGATTATGTTTTTTCATGATCTGGAGCAAGAAACTTACACTTAACTACATGCCTAAACTGGCAATGTTGAATGCATAGAGTCCCAAAATGGAGGCCAACATACATTTATTGGCAATTTTGAATTAACGGAGACCCAAAAGGGAGGGATACATAAAAATAATATACATTCTATTCTGACGTTGAACATTATTTCATGCATATTTTGTAAATTTCAATGACACTTATGATGCATATATGATTACATTTAATTCGCTTACAACCGTAGTATTTACTTTTAACTTTTAAAATAGTAATAGCATAATAACGAGAAGCTGCCAGTGATTTTATACTGTAAAACATGGAACCCCACCCCACCCCTAACTCTTGAAAAGATGCATTATATATTTTATTTAAAGGGGTGTTGTAATTAAACGCATAATTAAATTGAAGAGAATAAACAGCGTTAATTATCACGACGAAAAGACATCTCTAATGAGCCACGAAGGCGCCACAGTAAAAATAAAAAAAATCTGCTGAAATGACCGTCTCCATTTCACTTGTTAGTTATTTTTTATACGGTTATTGCCCTTGTGAACACCAAATCATGTTTATCCGCGAGGAAGTTTATTAAAGTAAAATAGAAAAGCCAAGCTTTTTTAAATTTTTTTTTTATATTATACATATTCGTCAGTTTAGAAAAAAAAGTGTGAGTCGGGGAGTACATAACCGTGTTGATGTAAGGCGTGAGTTGCGCACCGTGCGTACGAGTACCCCCCCCCCCCCTCCCCCGACCGTACGTAGGGTGACTCGGCGAACTGACACCGCCACTCCGCCCACGAGACGGCGTGGTTAGAAATCGTTCGCTGCTCTTGATGTTTCCACCAGATGTGGCGAAACTGCAACGTCGATTTGCCGTGGCCGTTGAAATGTTTGCAGACAATTTGGCGAAACTTAACTCCTCGTTCAACAATGTCAGATGGAGGAGTGTGAAGAGAAGGAGGAAAAAAAAATACTGGATGGCAAGTGGAACGTTTGACGTCATCAAAGAGTGGTTAAACAGGTCGGTCCGTACTGATGAATGACCAAAAGTCTACAGGAATGACGAACATACTACAGAAATGACCAAAATACTACAGAAATGACCAAAATACCACAGAAATGACCAAAATACTTCAGGAATGACAAAAAGACTCCAGAAATAACCAAAATCATCCAGATATGACATAAAGCGCCCAGAAATCACAAAAAAATAAATCCAATAGATGCGTCAAGAAAATAATACAGTAAAGAAGCAAACACTAAGATGATAGAATTATTTTAAAAAAAAAGGCTAATGAATTATTTTAACTATAAAGGGACATAGAATGTCCCAAAATGTCAAAGAACAATTTCCTTTATTATTACAATTAACAGCAGTTAATATTAATAAAAACCCAATCAATCGTTCAATAATTGGATGGTTTAAAGAAATTCAAGAAGTAACAGGAATGGTCCGTTACACAACAAGTACACTAAACACCCCAGTCATATTAGCCATTCTTACAGTACTTTGTCAGGAAGGCCAAACTACGTTGTGTAAATAGCATCTAATTGTCTTCAATGTAAAATACAATTTTATAAGCTAGCCGTGTATAAAAGATTACCAACGACTGCCTTGGGTTAAATAGATCTAGGAAAGTTTTCCCGAAGATCAAGGAAATTATTTTACCCTATCTCCACCCTCGGGTCTGTTCTGAAAACATTATCACCTTCTTCAGAAAGCATTTGTGTTGCAGATACAAAGACATCGGCCATCTTGAAACCTGTACAGACGTATTAGCGCCGACCGACGGACGAAGGCGCTCAACTCTCAACTCCTAAAGGAAGGACGACAACTCGTCTACTCGCTAATCGCTTTAATCCGCCATCATCTCCCCCTTTTTTTCACCCGTTACACAATCATCAAGTACATGTACATTCGTACTTCAGACAACAGGCAGACTTTTGTCAGCAGACAGCAGACAAAACGCTACCACTTGTGGGGGGAGACTTACAAAAGGTACACTCACCCGGCTATAGATCCAGGTGAGAATGGAGGTGTTCCCCCCGCGGGGGTCGGGACGAAATCAAAGTACGAGATTCTCCCAGCGGATCATGGCCGTAATCCTCCGTCTTGTTTCAAGGGACGGCACTCTGGGCGAATCACTTGATCGAATCAATGGTCGCAAGTGTCGATTGAAATCAAGGGAGATAATCTACACTACATAGCTTGTTCTTACATTTATCTGCCCGTTTTTTCCTCATAAGTGTATCAGTGCTAAGTGGAGTTCAAAAAGCACGAGAGAAAAGATAGAAGAGGTCGGATGGGCTTCAAATTGGTGAGCGGTGGGGGCTTCAAATACTATTGGTGAGACGCAGTTTCAACGATTATACAGGCAGAGTGTCTTTCTTTGTTTATTACAAGTTTTAAGGAGAAAAAAAAATCAAATTATCTTTTGGTTAAGAAAAAACAAAACAAAACGACTTTCCGCTTTTGTTTTAACGTTTCAGTTTTCACTGACTTAAGTATCATTGTGACGGGAGAGTTCTGGAAAAGGGAGGAGGGGCGAGAAAAGGAGAAGGGGGGGGGGGGGGGAGGTAGGAGATGTGAGGTTTGAAAAGGTTGAGTAGAAATTGTAATTTGTCGACTTGACTGCCGTGAAAACAAAACATAACTACGGGACGGAATAGTTGAGTTGGTGGGTGAAGGGAGGGGGGGGGGGGGGTTAAGTTTGGGGGGGGGGGGAGTTGAGTTGGTGGAGGGGGGGGATGGGGGGAATAGATAATTAACAAAAGAAAGTTTTATTAGCAGAACCCGTGGGGTGAAGAGGTGAGGGCGGGGGTGGGGAGGCAGCAGCCAGTGAGTAAACTTCTGAAAGTACGTCACAGAGAACTGCTCATATAAAGCCTGTTTGTGGCCTGGTGCTTAGAACTACATGAGGAGGTGACGGCGGGGGTTGTGGCGGGGGAGGGAGGGGGGGGGGGGTCCCCCACATCCAAGACTGGAGAAAGTTCTAATGCGTCTTTCTTATTGAATGCTCACAAACAAAGGGGAGGGGATAATTAATGTCGCCCCTGCTTTGAAGTCTCAGATAGACCGGGCCACTTGTTACTCGCTTTGATGACACGTGTCGTAAGTGAGTGTGTAGTCGATCGCGCTAATGAGGTGTGTAGTTTTAGACTCTTTTTTTTTTCTGGGATAATTAGGCGTGTTGTAAGAGAAGTGCTAATTGGTAAGTATTCGATTGTCTTGTTATTTATAGCAAGCGGTGATTAAATAAAAAAAATGTAGGACATTTTGCGGATCTTCTGTGGATAAAAGTAAAAAACGAGGCACTAGACTTCTCAGATTCACACAGAGAATTGAGGGCTGGGAAATCGAGAAATGAGATAACGGTCAAGGGCAAATGAAGTAGTGAGTGACGGTGGTAAATCAGATCCAGTCGTCCTGATCAACAGATTATGTCGGGACTAGCCTGTATCAGTAGACCCACTTTTTTTAGCGCAATTTCCATACTGGCAAATTGCGATTATTAACTCGTCATTTCTGGATGTGTGTCCGCAGCTTTAAGTCGTATCTCCTCCTCAACGAAGGAATATCGAGGACTAGTTCCAAAAGCAAATATGTTAAGCAAGTTCCGAGGATGAACATAGGCCAAAAAAATTCCCGGAATTCCTTCCTGGATTTCCCGGAAAAGCCAAAAAAACCTCGAAAAAAATGCAGTTTTTTGCCCATATCTCGGCAACCAGACCACTTAGCGACTTATTTTTTTTCAAATCAAGCGATCCAGATAATCTAATTGCTTTTTTTTAAAGCTCAAATATGTATGCAATTAATAACTGCTTTGAGATTTTGGTGAATGATTACAAATGATAAAAGAAATTAAACAGCGAATAGAGTTAAGTGGTCTTGAGCTTAATTACACTGGTATCATCAAGTTTTTGATAAAAATGTGAACCAAGGAGAAAGCTTACCTACATAATGATAAAAGAGGAAATATGTCATTTACTGGTGAAGTGGATATGACATTTAATGTCATGTACCTGTCGCACAAAGGCCTAACAGGATTTAGGAGATAATTTTCTCGTGTAATTCTCAAGTTTGATGTCATTTGAAATAAATTTTAAAATTTCAAGGAACAAAACGGGACCATTAAAATTTTAATCGGCGTCGTCTGGACCACAGACGGCGTGTAAAAAAATGGCGGGAATCTGTAACGTGTCTACACCAGCAGTGTTACAGGGGGAGGGAGGGGATGGTGTAAACAAAATATGATTCATGCCAGTCTGGTTGCTTGTGTAACGAGAGAGAACAATGTCGTCTCTGTCGTGACAACCCTTCTCTGGGCAATTTTATGGTTTACTGCTTGATAGAAGGCAACCCGGACGTGACGTAACACAAGCTCAGTGTGACGTAGATTAGAGCAAAATGTGACGTGGTGCGCAACAGTCGTTGACGCTAAACCCAACAAATGCAGCGCGTTTTAAAAAAACTTAAATTTAAAAATAAAAGCTGAAAGTAAAATAGAATGTTAAGACAACGAAGAAAATAATTAAAATGCAGAAAGATAATTCTAAAATTTAAAAGTTGACATAAAAACACAAATCTCGAGGAAACAACTAAGTTTTGTGTTTGTAACTACGCTCAGTAGTAAGTATCCAAGTTATTATTTTAAAGTATTGCTACTGTATCCCTAGCCCCATGTATAGCTATACCGCATTCTCCCAAGAACATAAACATTAGGTATGTGTACACACCAAGATTATAAAGACTCACCATTACGAGATCCAGATAACAAAGAAAGATTAGTTCTATTATTAACATGAACATTTGACATACAATCATGATGAGACGGTTGTTGTTGCTGCTGCTGCTGCTGATGGTGATGGTGCGGCTGGTACTGCCGGTGATGGTTCGCCAACAACGGCTGATGGTGTCCGTAGTTGAGTAACGTCGGATGGTGCTGCGGCTGTGTTTGGTGGCTGTTGTGGTGGTGGTGGTGATGGTGACGTTGGGAGTAGCCGTGCACGAAGCCGGTTCCGGCCATGTTGCCGGCACAGTTTAACGTGTTGCCGCAGTCCGGAGACAGAAAGTCCGGCCACTGTTGAGGGCTCCCGGGGATTGTCATGATCCTTCTGTCAGTGTCCAGAAGTTGAGGGGCGCTCCCTATCAACATACTCGCAATAGGGCGTCACTCGCAATAGGGCGTCACTTGCCCTGGGTCATATATCCAAACTCTTCAATCCATATAAAACCAACACATCCAAAGCAAACAAGAAGGAACGAAGATTCAGTTCTAGAACTTTCCTCTGCTCGGGACCCCCACACTACACAGCACTGACCGCTGGAGACAGCATGGCACTGGTACTTATGCGTATCTCGACTTGACTTACATTGTATCTCAGAGAGCTGACCACTCGCTGACCACTACTCAAGCTCTTGTTACACGAGACAGTTACACTTGTGTATAAACCAACTATAACAAGGATAAAGGAGCAAATACAAACATATCTGTTGATTACTTTCAAGCGAAACTAATTATTCAAACGGACACAATATTAAATCATATGTTTTAACATCAATATATGAATTTAAAAATAAAGGTATTTTTATACACAAATGAACGCCGATGTTAAAGCGGACGTTTCTAGATCTAGAAGTAAATAACGTATTGCATCTGTTCGTGAATTTGTGATTTGTTTTAAAAAAATATGAATTTATTAATTCCCTCTCCCGGTGGTCCAATATAAAAGAGGGCTATCGGCGTAATTTAAGGTCAAGTTAACGAAGTTGCGCGTGTACTTTAAATGCAGCACTAATCACTACTTCCACAATGATTAATATAATTGACATTGGAGTGCCTGAAGACGAAGGTCGGCTGTTTATCAAGAGAAATTTAAAAAACAAAACAAAAAAACTAATTACAATAATAAATGTATTTCTCTACTCTGAGATGGGGGTGGGACTAAGTGTAATGACTGTAAGTCGCGAGCTTTAGGACGAGGGCCGGTGACTCACGAACTTTCTGAGTAATGTTTGAGGTCATGAGAAAACACAACTGTGATTAGGGGGACATGCTTAAACAAATTAGTTTTAACTAATTAACTAGCATACTCTAAGACGATAAATTAAGCGCGCATTGTGGCTCTACTCTTAAAAAACATATTCTAGAACCTAGCTAGACCCTCTACATGTTAAAACCATGGAATATTTTCATGTAGTTGGCGAAATCGATTTTATAAATTCATGACTTATAGAAACCAAATCAATAAGTGGCGTTAAATTTCCCTAAATTTTTAAATTTCCATCTATAATCCCTAACTGAATGCTCCTTAAATGGTAGTTATAATGACGACTAGTGTTTAAACCATCGGAATGGGTAAAATAAAAACTTCAAATATCGTCAATAATCTTAAATAATGGCGTATGTTTCATATCTTTGAATAATTGTTTTAGTGTTAACAAGCCGGGATTGAACTAACACTACCTATCCTGCACGTGTCTCTCAAAGTATACCTCATTAATGTTTATAATAAAATTGCTCGTACTATTTGCTATTCAGCGCACTTTTTTTTGGCCTGCTCAATATGTACTAAGCCCGATCAATAATTACGTCTTTAATACTTAGCACACGAAATATCTTAAAGCTAAATTACATATTGTACTGTTTATATGTTCTATCACAACTAAAGTTGTCATTGTAAGTAAAGAATCTAGATCTAAGTTCCGGATTGTATGTATTATATACACAGCACTATACACATGCCTACAATTATATAACCAACATTTTATCTATAAAGCTAACGATAAGGGCACTCATATCACATCGTAATAACTGGATCATCGGAAGTCAAGCGACCACTTCATGAAACCAATATCTAGATCTAGACAGTCTACATACACACTCAATAAACCTTATAATATCGAGATCAATACGAGATTTAAGTAAAGAAAATAAACACATTCAATGTAACCACAACTTAGAATTACTCAAAACGTAGTCCGAATTTGACTAAATCAATGGTAAAACTAGTCACAAAACTTACACAACGGAACTTTCACAAAATTCAACGAATCAAACTTTTCACACAGATCTACGAATCAAAGTTCCAAGTCTTATGTCGAAGAAAACGATCAAATCGCATTAATCCGCACACCAAACTCTCCAGATCGCAGTAAGGAAATCACGTGACCGTCCTCACACCTAGAACCAACGGTCCTGAATGTTGGCGGAGTCTCGTTCCGGGCGTGTGTGGGTGTTGTTGTTTTTTAACCCCATCACGTGCCGTCACTGTTCCTATTATACCCCACTTCCTCTCTCGCTCGGACCGTTATCTTTTCGAAAAGTTTTCTTCCTTTTTTTTTCTCTCCCTTTCTTTCTTTCAATTGTGTTCGCTGTCCTCCGCAAGTTTTAACCTATACAATACGTAAAGGGGGCCCCGCGCGCGCGCCACCATGCTCAGAGCCTGCTCTCTGGGCAGACGTGGGAAGCGACAGCCAATCGGGAAGCTGGGCCGGCAATTATTCATTTACCTAAGCCCCGCCCACTTCCGCTGGAGTAGAGGTGAGTGGATTTATGAATGAAAATTTAACGTAATGTTGTGTATGAGGAAGAGGAGGGGAGAAATGGGGGAGATGGATGGATATGGAAGGGGTGAAATGGGGGTGGGGTGGATAATGGGCAACCCACATCTATGGGGGGTGTATGTGTACTATTAAGGTTATGTGTAAATTGTATTTTCTAGAGCAGTAATTACAAAATATTGCAAGAGTTCTTAAAACCTGACTATATATTTTAAAGACTGGAGGATAGGAATGGAAGGTTCTAGTGTCGTCTCTATTTAGCTGTAAACACATTTTCACAATTCAATTTTTAAAAAAACATGTTTTTCTTTAAATTGTTTCTATTACAAGTGCAATACATAACATAGAATCGCTAAATCAAAAGAATAGACACACATTAACATGGATCTATTACACACACACTTGATCTACCAACCCACAATGAATCCCCATTATCCCAGGTCCATATTCTAAATCAAGAAACCCCCACTACTGAGATAACTCTCTCACACCCAAATGTTTCACCTATTTAAACTACGTATTACATCAGACGGTAACAGTTTCAAGACCTCAGAAAACAAGTACGAAAGAAACACAAGACCAAATAACACACAATTAATAAATAAAATACAAGACCCACTACCCATCAAATAAAAATAAATAAAATAAAGATAGACAACGCTATAACAATAGAAAAGAAACAAGACAGATACACTACATTCAAAGACCAATAGATCTAAAATCTATATATCCTACAACAATAGTCACCTTTCAAACAGTACTATATCTCATCTCAACAACCCACATCAGTAGAACACTCCACACACAACTAGTAGAAAACCCCACACACCATCATTAAAACACCCCACACACCCCCAGTAGAACACCCCACACACTCAGTAAAACACCCCACACATCACCAGTAGAACACCCCACACATCACCAGTAGAACACCCCACACACCCTCAGTAGAACACCACACATCACCAGTGGTACACCACACACACCACCATTAGAATACCTCACACCACCGCCAGTAGAACACCCACACACCGCCAGTAGAACACATCACACATCAAAAGTAGAACACCTCCCACACAACGCAACTAGATACACAAAATGGCGCGCACACCTCCCCTAGCCCACCCCAACCCTTAATCAAGCCACCCCCAACCGTAGATTGGTCAAAATGAAGCGCTCAAATTAATTTTAAAATGCCAGCGCAGGGGGAAAAAACCCCGGCTAAACCGGCAGAAAATTGGGCGAGCCGGTGTGATTAACTGCTACCCTTTAATCAAAATGGATGCGCAACTTTTCGGTGGCTGCATCAAGCGTATCCTCTTACACACGTGTCTTCATACGCCACCATCATGTGTGCAGTGGTTATCTCTAATGACCGCATGCGCTAAAAAAAAAAAGCCAACTTACTATGAAACTATTGAAGGTACAAGTTTGTTTCTTTCACGGAAGTAAATACTATTTTCCCCATCACATAGAGAAAAAAAAAACTCAATAGAAATACAATTCAAATTTTAGAATTGTAATTTCTATATGCATCCACCGACAGCTAAGACACTCTGTTGCCTCTATGAAATGTATATTTGGGAACCGTGCAATTCTAGTGTTACAATTGTGTTCTGCAGTGCGGTGCGCATTTATGCACTCTGATCCAACTACTGTGATTATACTATTTAGGTTGCCTATAAAATAAATCTTTAGGAACTTTGTAATCCTAGTGTGACAACTGTGTTGTGCAGTGCGGTGCGATCTATGCACTCTGATCCAACTACCTCAAACATCTGCTTTGTAATGTTCCACTTCAAACAGATTTCTGTCAGGATTCGTCAGAAGGTCCTGGTAAGATCACCGAGATTTGAACACCGGGAAGCGTCAAGTCAGGGGGAGGAAGGGGAGGCTGGGTGTGCAATTACAGCATATTATACAGTTAATTTCGACTGTGGTTTCTAGGCAAGCGCCAGCCTGGGATCTTAGGTTTCAGCACACTACCGACGCCGTGGGGTCTTAGACCAACTGGGGGGTCTTAGACCAACCATCAAGGTCCTGATCCTGGGAGGGGGGGGGGTCTTAGACCAACCAGGGGGGGGGGGGTCTTAGACCAACCATCTAGGTCCTGATCCTGGGAGGGGGGGGGGGGGTCTTAGACCAACCGGGGGGGGGTCTTAGACCAACCATCTAGGTCCTGATCCTGGGAGGGGGGGGGGTCTTAGACCAACCATCAAAGTCCTGGGGGTCTTAGACCAACCATCTAGGTCCTGGGAGTCTAAGACCAACCATCAAGGTCCTGGGTGTGGGGGGGGGGGGGGTTTAGACAAATTATCAAGGTGCTGGGAGGGGGTGATTTCTTAGACCATTTACCAAGGTCATGTAAGGTCTTAGACCAGCTACCAACGGCGTCATAGACCAGCTACCGCAGGCGTGTGGGACCTGGACCACCTATCACGTCATAAAGATCGTGTTACAAAACAGCGTCAAAAAAATAACAAGTTTCTTTTCAAGTTTTGACAATTGCCGACATTCACGAAACCCTCGTGTAGGTATGGGTGTGTGAGGTATGGGTGTGTGAGGGATTGGTGTGTGAGGGATGGGTGTGTGAGGGATGGGTGTGGGGAGGAGGTTTAAAAATGTAACGGCACTATGTGGCTATATTTGATTTCATATCACAGAATACGTCAGGCGCCGACTCGAGCCGATTTGAAGCAAGATGATAAAACATTATGTAGAGGACGTGTTGATAAGTTCGGAAAATGTGAAAAGTTTTTCTAACAAATACATTTTGGAATTGTTTGTTTTAACATGATCTCAGCTGTACCATGTTTGAGAGATGGAGTAACAGAGCTGCAAGCACTACGAGAACAAACGACACTGAATTTTTTCTTTCCTTGGTTC